CACTTAAAATGAGATAGATACACATTTGCCTTAAAAAGAGAGAAAACGAAGATGTCGAGTGGCAAAAATGCAAGCAACGCGAACAGATCTACTATTGTAATAATGCGGAGGTTGGCAATGTTGATTCTTACTTATGTCTATTACTACGTTTACACGACCCGCTTTACGCCGAAGTTATAACATCGATATTATGAAACTGGCCAATCATAGCTGTTCCTCTGAAGAATGGAATGACTGTGATTGGCCAATTCGACTGTGATTGGTCAATTTCTTACTCTTACTTCTTACTCCGTGTATTGTAGACGGGCCTTTCAGCGTGCCGTGTAAACGTAGTATATGACACGGGAACGTATCGAATTGATCTTATTTCTCGTATGTTCTCGTAGTAAGAGCGAAATGAAAGTAAAATGTCAAAATATTCTTATATGTTTGCCTTTGTTTTTGTTGCTGTTAGTTGGTTACATATTATATGTTGGTAATACTCGCTACGTCTCAATTCGAAGCGTTTACAATCCGATATTTCCAATTCTAGTTTGTTCTACTTCGTTGAGAAAAGTGGATTGAAGTGCATCGAAACTTAATCCGTTTATAGTTTATATCCGAGAAATTCACTCCGAACTCTGAAGTGAATCGGGGAATATCGAGATTGGACTTGGCTGGGTGTAAACAAGGCCATTGTTGCGTATTATTGCAATACACGGCACACGCATAACAATTTTGGATTATAATAGCGCGACGAAGTAGTGTGTTAGCTTCGCAAACGTACGAATTTCGACTTTCGAATCTTTCCATAACGAGACCTGCGAGACGATACGGGTGCGGGGTGCGCATGGCCGCGTGCTGCCATGATCCAGCTGCCGTAAATGCCGTAATGAGAACTGATAGTCGTCATCGTTCCCACCACTACCAGGCACCATCAGCACCATCGGCACCATCAGCCGCTCGCTGTCATTGTCATTGTGTTCCTGGCAATCCTGGCAATCCTGGCATTTTATCGTTGCGGAGGTGCCCATGAAGACGATGCTCCGCGTCGCGGAGCAGTGTCGTTAGTACGTGGCGTCCTGTAACGTTCGCGTTTGGTTCATGTATTTCGCATGAGAGAAGAGAGGCCTCCTGCCGAGGGAGAAAGAAAGAGATATACATATATATCTCCTTCAAGTATAAACCGACGTGGTCGTCCATGTGGGATATCTCACAATCCAGAAGTGAATAAGAAGTGAATCTTCATTCGCCCTACAAACGTAAATATAATTGTATGCACTTGGGATGTCTTTCTTTCTTAAGGTGAAAAAAAAGTTATTGCGCCAATAATTATACACCGTATGTGATGCGCTGCGCGTTACAAGGCTGACACATGTCGCCGAATTTGCTGTCGGCTACATAGTGCTGACTGTTGCATACTTGCATAGTGATAAGCCAAGCGAGTAGATAGGTATAGGAACACGGAATAGAACGGAACACGCGCTCGATGCTGTATATCACGTCATGTCACTTTATAATGTTTTATGTCACACACTATGGATTTCAGATGAAAAGACGCAGAAAAAGCTTTTTCATTTTGGATGCACGAAATCTCGTATTTTTTTCACAATAAATATATATTTAAGCATCGATAGAAGAAGAAAATATACGATAACATTACGAGCATGAAAATTGAGAGAACACTCATTCGTCAATTTTATTTTGCGTTTAAAGTGGAATTATTACATTCAAACTTTGGAAATAACACGCAGAAGATATAACTGCAATGAACAGCTGCAATGTGTATCTAATTAGAATTTTCTTTTATTTGTTGCATTATCTTTGGCAAAATTTATGATTTTTCCGTTATCTGGCTTATTGATAACACTGGTATCTTTATCTCTACTTTATATTTTTCACAAGTATAAAGAATGTACAGAGTGTAGTGAAAAAATCATTTGATTCTTGAGCAAGACTTTCTAAATTATAGACAATTTCACTCGTGTAATCTACATGTAAAAAAAAGTCAACCAAAATTGGCAATAATTGACATTGTTATTTAGAAGCAATAGGTCTCACAAGTTTACTTTTTCTGTGCACATAGAGCGATCTCACCAACTTCAATTAATTGACCAATTCTATTGTAACTGACCAATCACATTTGTTGTTTAGTAGAATTAACCAATCTCGGGTGACACTTAATTGACCGATTAGGTTAATCGAAATTCGTAAAACCGGCTCATAGGCCGGTATTCATAGTCAGAATTCTTATATTATAAGACAGTCTTAAAGTTCACTAGTCTTAAAATGTCATAAGCCAATCCCAGAACTGTATTAGCATCTTAACCGGATCTACAATAGATTCTTAGGCCTTAAGCCATAAGGACTGGACGAATCACAATCATTTTCCTCGCATTCGACTGTAGTTGGTCAATTTCTTACGGCTTAAAGCTTAAAAATCTATTGTAGATCCGGACTAAGACATTACTTAAAACAGTTTTAAAATAAGAACAGATTATGAACGGTATTCGTAAGTCTGTTCTTATTTCAAGATCGTCTCAAGTTGTATCTTAAGATGCTAATTGTACACGCACATTATATGTATGCATGCATGTGTGTATGCATTTAAAATAAGAACTGATTATGAATGTCGATCATAACAATACCGTTTAAACTGTGTGTACCTTAGAATGTGCTCATAAAGTCTTTGGCAATTGTAGGAAGATCAAAAATATAAGATAAAAAGGTAAACATATACCTGTATTTATAGTCAGGCCTTATATTTAAGGCTTACCTACATTTATCTTCAGATGCTCTACGAATTATTTTATTGACTACTGAGCATCTAAAGATAAATTTAAGGAGGCCTTAAATATAAGGTCTAACTATGAATACGGACAACAGGCTTTTATATTGTCATTTAAATGATCTTAAACATAAGAATCAATTGTAAATATTATTTAAAGATATTCTTAAGAGGATCCTAAAGTGAAGCCCGAATTCCGATGAGATCGCTGTTTAATAAAATGTGACATATCGACAAATTTTTATATGCTACTACACCAATATCTCACATACACATATACATAGATTTTCGTAGAACAATAACGTTTTAATTAGACGTCTAAATTTAATTCTAAGAACTTCACGTTGTTTGTTCATATAAACTATCAATCTGTGGACCACAATTTCGTAAGTACAAATTGCGAAGTTTTTATTTCAAGCAAATGTTACAATATTGACAACTCTGATATCATGCCATATTAGAGTAAGAAATGGTAAAGATCTCAATTTAAATAACTTTCTCGTTCTTGACATAAACCACCTCACAAACACATATTAATACGTGTACTTTAATTCTGAAAAAGGATTTTCAAATCTGTAAAAGAGGAAAAAAGTAATTGTTATACAAAAATTATTGCGTTTAATCGGTAATACAGATGATTTTAGGATCTTTTTAAGATATAATGAGTCAATTATCACGGGCTAATAGTCTATTCTTATTTTAAGATCGTCTTAAGTAATGTCTTAAGAATTAAGATGCTAGTGCGACTCTTGACTAAGATCATACTTAAGACTTATTGGCTTATATAAGAATCGAGTATGAATAGGGAATGGAAATAAATTATTTTCTATTCAAATGAATTATCTATTTATATTCATATGCAAAAGCATATTAATTTTTTAAATCAACAGTTAGGAATGTATATAAAAATGGAATAAACCAAAGATTCATCTGAAGCAAAAAGTGTGAAATATATCATAATTTATCAAATCAAATTGGCGAACACAATTACAATAAGTTATATATTAAAATAAAACATCAAGAATTATAAAATTGCTGAGAAAGTCAAAATACAAGTTAGAACCGTTAAGACCGTAAATAATAAAGTTATTCACAATGACAAAGAGAAATAAATACAATAAATAAATCTGTCGTTTAAGACTCATGTATGTACAGGATGTTGCAGATAATACTAGGCACTACGACGGGGGTTGCGCGGCAAACTTTGCATGGCCAAGCGTGATTTAATAGACAATGACAGTGACTTTATACATTATACAATGACAGTGACTTTATATTATAAAGTTTGTTATAAAGTCACTGTCATTGTCTATAAAACCGCGTCTGCCCATGCAAAGTTTACCACGCAACCCGTCGTACTGCCTAGTATATATCTGCAACACCCTGTACATGAATTAAATTGTAACTCATTTATTATATCTACGTACGCATGGTGCAACCACTCAATGTCGGACTGTAAAATTCAAACTGTTTTTTTTTGCAGTTTAATTAATAACATGTCAGAAACATGACGCTTATTTAAAAGCTTTTTTGCATTAAAAATGGCCGAAACGTTCAAGGTTGTAACAACAAGTTAAATATGATTTACATTTAAATTAAATCAGTGGAAAATAATTTATTTTTTAAAATTTTATTTTAATTTATTTTTTCCATACTAAATACCGCGCTATATTTACTCTCATTTGCTCAACTTTACGAACTAAGATATTTAATATTTCATGTCATATGCATTAGTATACAATAACTTGTAAACTATTATTTAATAGCTTAATTTTTTAATAGCTTTACCTTTATATGTGGAATAATCAGAAGAATCATCTTATGTAAAAGAAAATCAATTTCATTTTAAAAAGTAGTAACTTTGATATGAAAAATTGATTTTTTCGAAAATTAATTTTACCAATATTTGCGTCTCTTTAGACCGTACAATTTTCATCTGAAACGTTTATCCGTACCTTTCATATTTTCCGAGATATTCGATCTATTTGAAATAAAGCATGTATATGTATATATATTTGTATATTTATATTTAATCTCAAGTATATATAAACTAAAACAAGAAGATAATCATCCATAATGTTAAAATTTTATTAATCTGCTTTAAATAAATAAATTAGTAAAAAATTTTGAAAGCATTTTAATAATTATAACGTTATTGATGATTATCTTCTTATTTTAGTTTGTGACACAATAAACTCTTTTCAGTATCATTAATTTTGAAGCATTATGATGCATTAAATATTATTGACAGTGTAAACATTGATAGGCTGTATGCATATGGAAAGAAAGTACACATATTATTAAAAGTATACATATTCAGAGGTGCCAAAGGGTTTGCGGGTTATCGCCGTGTCGTCATCCATTGCTAATGCCAACGTTTCGTGAACCTTGTTGGTACCTCTGAAGAAAATACTCATGAAAGCCTCAAAGATATTATATATATATATATTATTACAAGTAAAGAGTATACATATTATTACAAATTGTATGTATTACAGGAGACAGAATATTTTAATTTGGGAATTCCAAATATAGTTGCTGAATTCGTGTTAAGTAAGTTTATTTTACTGATATATAAAGAACAATATAATGATAGAGATAAGATAATAGCTATCAGTGTTTTTTGTCTACTTTAAGATCTTAAATTTTTTAATTTTGCATACACATAATTAAGCTAACAGAAACAGTAAATCAAAATCAAAACAAATATCAAAGATATGTTTTTTAATTATAGAACGAAGAGATGGAGAGTTCAGAGGAACCAACTAGTTTGCAATCCATATGTCATCTCCATGCCTCGGAGTTATTTCCTAAGCACACAAACTTTGAATGCGAGGATGAAACATTGACAATTCCGTTTACACCATTAAGCGGAGAATCGGTTGTGGCATTGGGACGGACAACGGATGGTGTTTTGGCACTTTCAAATTATAGACTTTATCTACAATTAAATCAAACATGTTATAATATACCTCTGGGTCTCATTGAGCAATTGGAGGTCAAAGAAATATTTTATTTGCATATTGGATGCAAGGATGCACGTTCTTTAAGGTATTTATTATGTACTATTATTTTTTGTCTGTATAAATATATTAAATTTTGCTCTTCTACATTTATTAATTACTGTGTATGACAAATTTAAATCACTTTTATTAAAAAGGTATCAACATATTAAAAATACTGATATTTTAGTTGCGCATTTACTACAAATGAGCACTGTTTAGAGTGGTTCAAACGATTGCACAAAGTGACGTATTCACGAAAAAGTATAGAGGATATATTTGCGTTTGCATATTACGCATGGTCTATAGAAGAAGGCAAAGATTATCCTAGGCTTGGAAAAGATAATAGTTCTTATATTACTACTTTTAATTCAGAAGTAAGAGAGTACTTTCTTTTAAATATTTTTATCTGCGTCTGTTGAAATTTTTACTTTATATACATATCCACATTAAATTATATCTTATATAGGTTGAGCGATTAAAATTTAATCTGCATGGTACATGGCGCGTAAGTCAAATAAATAAGGATTATCGGATGTGTCCATCCTATCCACCACAGCTTCTAGTTCCCGCTTGTATTTCCGATGAAACCCTCGAATTTGTTGCCAAATTTCGAAGTTCCAGACGAATTCCAGCTGTTATCTGGAGGTATAGTCTTTATTTTTTTATTTTATACGATAATATTTATAATAAATCATCTATTTTATCATTGTAATTACATGTAGACATGTGAATAATGGCGCCGTGATAGCTCGTAGTAGTCAACCGGAAGTTGGTTGGCTCGGTTGGAGAAGTTCTGAGGACGAAGTTCTTCTAAAAGCTCTTGCGGATGCGTGTAGCTATGATAAGGGCGAATCTACTATTGTAGATTCGCCTATTACATATTCCGATACTGGTGACGATGCATCGAGTGCTGCCAAAGTAAGAGAATTTTAATCAATAAATTTAATTAGAAGAAGAGTACAATTTTTTTCACAACCATTCAGGGATCATTTTATTTCTACATTTTTTTACGTATTTTTCTTCATGGAAACCGAAAATGGTCATAATAATTACGGTGTTGTATTGCAGCTGTATCAGAAAATAATAAAATATATTGAAAACTCGCTTTTTTATTATTCTGCATTAATAAATGCATGTACAATTCAGTATTCTACATTTATACAATGAAAGTGGACCTTACGATAGCTGATCAATATTCACAGCTATTTATTGATTTATGAACCGCAAAAGTTTTCGGGTTTTCAATATATTTTCTATACTACCAAATATGTGTGCTAACATATAACAGAATTCATTTTTACTTCGATATACAGTGCAAGAAAGAAATGATTTTTTGTTGCTGCAAGAAACATGAATCTTGTTAATAAGAAATTATTTCAAATGAGAAATTAAATAAAAAAGAAAATATTATACATATATATTTATATAGTTTAGGCATATAATTAGTTCCATGTTTTACATAAATAATTTCCGCTTTATAGAAAGTTTTAATTGTCGATGCCAGATCTTACACAACCGCCGTAGCAAATCGGGCACGTGGCGGTGGTTGCGAGTGTCCCGAGTATTACCCCAGCTGTGACATACAATTTATGAATTTACCAAATATCCATTCAATACGGAAAAGCTTTCATGCTGTACGACAGCTTTGTGCGTCGGACGCAGATCAACCAAAGTGAGTTATTCTTAGATTGGTAAATTTATATGGCATTTATTGAAATTCTTAATTATTTTAATTTATTTTAAATTAATCTAATTACTTTTATAGTTGGTTAAGTTTGCTGGAAGGAACACGATGGTTGCAGCATATGTCGGGTTTATTACGAGCAGCAGTCACTGTAGCGTCTGCAATAGAAAGGGACGGTCGACCAGTATTAGTGCACTGTAGCGACGGCTGGGATAGAACTCCCCAAATTGTCGCGTTAGCCCAGATATTACTTGATCCATATTATCGTACTATGGAGGTACACAATATTTTTAAAGAATAATAAATAATCAAGTTAATATTGCTACATAATTTTCTAATATTCTGATTTTATAATATTGTTTTATTTTAGGGATTTCAAGTTTTAGTCGAGAGAGAATGGTTAGACTTTGGACATAAGTTCGCGGATCGATGTGGTCAAACAATCGGTTGCGATGATCCTAACGAGCGTTGTCCAGTATTTCTTCAGTGGCTCGACTGTGTCCATCAATTAATCCTGCAATTTCAATGTAGCTTTCAGATGTCATCAGCGTATCTAGTAAATATATTTGTATAAATAACTATGTACATAAATATGTATAAACATTATATACATATATACACATACACACACATATCATGAGAGAAAATATGTATTTTATCAAAGAAATTATTCTAATATTATTTTCTAAGTGTAATATTCCTTTAATATTCCTATTTCATAATATTCTCATTTCAGGTAAAATTGGCCCAACATACCTACTCGCAATTGTTCGGTACATTCCTGTGTAATACCAGGCAAGAGAGGCTACAATTGAGATTACGCGATCGTACGTTTTCAGTTTGGCGTTTTCTCAATTCGACTGCGTTTGTAAATCATCTATATTCGCCGTTAAAGAATCAAGTACGTCGTAAAATATCACATGATTGATATAATTCCACACAATGACAAAAGATATTTCAACAATATTGATTTTTATATTATTGTTTATGTTATTTTAGGTATTATGGCCAAGTTGTAACGTACGCGATCTTGTTCTATGGTCTGAAGTGTATCTAGGCTCTATGGAATCATCGCTTGGTATGAGAGACAATAAACAAAGAATGACAGTAATAGACATTGAAGGTGGCGAGAATGAGGAGCCACAGGGGCAAATGACGAAGACGAGATCATATGGCGATCTTATGCATGCTCCTGATCATGCGACGCATCTGCACAGAAGACGCAGCGATCCGAGTATTTCTATGGAAAAGTACGTTATTAAGTGATAAACTTGTGCGATATAAGTGGACATATTCGTAAATAAATTTTTTTCATTGCAGAAAATTTGATTCTCTAGCACTTGAGACTGAGATGGATAAAAAGAATGTAAAATACGATAACAAGAACGAAACCGTGAACGAAAATTTATCAGAAACTGAAATCAGGACAAAACGAGATATCATTAATCAAACATCCAATGATTCGCCTGCCAATCCTTCGGTAGATAGTTCCACTGATACTTTGATACCCAACAATGATTCTGTTGTTCCAGTGGTGAATGAAGAGAAGGAAGCGTAAATACATATTTTTTTTTATATCTCAACAATGTTCAAATAAACTTTTAAACAATTGCAAAATTTGTTAAAATTTACAGGCAACAAATAAATTCATCGCGTGATATTGTTTCACCGTGGATTGAAACCGGCACTACTACTGCACAAGTTGTTTGTTCTTCGTGCAATCGTAATCATAATGAGGGTAGTGACGTGAGTGATACCAGCGCTCCATTGATATCAAGAACTCCGAGTAGCATATGTCCAGCTTCTCCAACCCATCAAGATGTCATGCTAGATAATCCTGACTGGTTGGACGATGTTGACGGTCTTCCTGTTATATGTTGTGACGTTCAAATGCGAGTCCAACAAATTATCGTAGAGCATAAGGTATCTTAAGCAGCAAATGTTATTTCACACACTTTCGAAATATTCTTTGAACGTGTCTGGCAATATATTATACATAGAGCAGAAAATCTTGTTTTTTTAAAAATAATTTTTAAAATAATTATTTAATTTTTAATTACTTTTTTAGCTCAAGGAGGAAGCCTTGAGAAAGGAATTGCATACAACAAGACTGGCACTAATCAAACAAGTTTGCAATCACAATGCAGATATCGATCGTATAGATGACATCGTAAGTAGAGTTCTTTGACTGATAATCCTTTTTATGTGTGTCTATGTATACAATAATATAATAAAAAAATATGTAATAACTTACAGGGTTCACTACCTGATTCGGTGGGTAGCGCTGGTGAACATGGGGAATCACTACCGTCGGATATGTCCTGGGAAGCTGTGGAGGAATTAGGTCCCGCGCCTACTTTATGGGTGCCCGATCATGCCGTGACTCGGTGTATGGGATGTAACACGGAATTCTGGCTTGGTAGACGTAAACATCACTGCAGGTACGCATTTTGTACAACAGAACAATAGACGCTGGTAATAATAGACATATGTATGTAATGAAAAGAAAGCAATAATAAAAAAATTTCTACATCCAGTAAAGAAAATATGTTTTTTAAAATATTAAATATGATTTTTCGGTATTTAAAATGATTAAGTATTTAAAATAGTATTATATTGTTTTTTAAATTATGTAATTCTTAAACTTATTTTTGTACATAGATGTTGTGGGAAGATTTTCTGTGCCGATTGTTCCGAGAATTCTACTCCCTTACCTAGCGAGCAGCTCTACAATCCTGTAAGAGTATGTAGCGACTGCTACGCACGGCTGCATCATCATCATCATCATACAAGTTCCTGTCAGTGCAATATTCGACAACAAAATATAAAAACAGAAAATGAGGCAGACTCTTTCGAAACAGCGACTTTACAACAACCGGTTTCATGTCAAAGACCGAGGAAATTACCACCCACTACAACAAAGGATTCCTGCTGTGACAACTTATTACAGGCAACACATCAGAAAACGCAGCCATCTATCGCGGCAGCCACAGTAAACTAAAAAGAAGAGTAAGAATCGAGCAGAAGAAAAATAACATGAAGAAATGCGATTAATCTATACGATGCGCTTGTCGTATTCATCATTTATATTGCGTACATATGGCACATGGACTAATGCATCTAGCTTGTTCTAAGCGATCTAATATATTTATTGCTAGATTAATAATTTGTACGAACAAGTGTATAGCTGATATATGGAGAAGAGATGACAAAATCAGTATACGAAGTGTATATATCTTGAGAATAACTCGAGACTAAGATTCCCAGAGAATAAGATTCTATTTCTCTTATAAGAAATAGAAGGGAATCCTCCGAGTTTATCTAGGTATCTTTATGCTAATATGACGAGAGGGGGTGATGAGTGGCAAAGTCTCGGATAGGCTGTGATCGATATCTAACTTTGTAGACGACTACACTATCAAGCGAAGTGCTGATTAATTGTCAATTGATCACGAGAAGAGCGGTTATTTGCTAATTAGCAATCGGATCGAGCGAAAACGAATAAAATCATATTTCTTATATCAACGTCGATGTATAAGAATTGGGATATTAAATGTCATTATCTCATTGCAAGCGTTTTATATCAATCAGATTCACAAACATCCAGTACCTATATTTTATTTTCCATATCGATCCCTTTCATTAAATCTATTTGTATGAAAAACATTTGTTATTGTATTAAGAAGATATTGAAAAACCGTTAAGAGTCCACACGGATGGTAGTGTACAAAATTAAGTTTATTATTAAAAATTTATATACAGAAAATGGACCAGTGCAATAAGTTAAAGTGAAATAAATATACGTTTATTTCATTTCAACTTATTGCACCGTGTGCACCAGTTCAGAGAGTGCAGCAATAAAAAACAGACCTTAGATGTCGCGTAGGTATCCCTCAGTAGCGACCTCACTGATACCAACTTTAGTTGTACCTTAGCGGAAATCCACTAGGTGTCTGGAAAAAATTTTACACTACGATCGAATGTGACTGTTTACAAGTTCACAGATATTTGATTCAATTTGACTGTTGACAGTTCAGTTTGTTAAAAATTACGAAAATGGCTTATATGGATAATGTTCTTCAATCGTTCACAACTACTGCACCACATAATACAATACCAGATTGGCTTAATTCAGAGCAAAGCACAGGGGTGAGTTATTGCGTTATTGGTATGATGCGATTTTAGGTTATAATGACATTGCAAAGTTGAGATTTGATAGATTAAAGCTAAAAAAAATAAACCGATAAATATTAAGAATATCTCGTCCACCTTAAATTTTAATAAAAATGCACTCAATTATATGCGTTTTCCCATAAAAATAAAGATTTGATAAAAGAAAAGCGTCGTTCTGTCCTTTAGACTGACTCCACAATGATTCTGCAATGAGTCGGAAATCTTAACGTTGCTCTACGATGAGTCAGTAGTCGGAAATCCTAAATGGTCCAAAGTGTTAATCGGTGAAGTTATTCAACTTGTACGACTAAAAAGACTGATTAAGACTTCCTATTATCGATTACAGACTCATTGTAGAACCCTCATTAAGATGACCCTACACAGTTAATAATATTGTCAGTATTAACAAATACTGAAATAATAGCAATCCCCTTGCTAAGTATTTCACCTAGCTTAGCTGCATATAAGCGAGTATGGTCAGCATACAAAGAAATCCACACTAAAAAGCGAAACTGTCTTAGAAATGAGAAGACAGAAGCTAGTTTTAGTGACAATGGAACTTACGTTTAGTTGATGGATTGCTAAAAAGACCTAAACACTGTGTTATGGGAAGTGTAAATAGAAGTATGAGAAATGAGTTTGTGAATAAAGAAGAAAATAAGGACATTTTCACTGACTCAGAATCTGATATGGAAAGTAATTTAGAAATTGATGTAGAAATCGATTCAGAATCCCAATCAGATACAGAGTCAGAAAGTACAATTGAGATTAACGATAAAGTTGAGATTTAATAAATAATAAATAGATATATTTTACTGTTGTGTGTTTATACTATAGGTGCAGGTTCTATTATAAAACTTCTGTGATAAAAATGAAATACATTTCTGCGATAATGTACAAAATAGTTTTTTAATTTTTACAAAAAAGGTTTTTTTTTATTAATAAAGTATACTTGTATTAAGATTAATCTAAAAATGCTTCTGCTTTCTATAAATATTATCTTATAACATAGACACACAGTTTGTTAACATACAATTTTGAGAATGCACATGCACAAAACATTTTTCGTTTAATAAAGGCTCAAACGTAATGAACAGAATAAGGAATACAAAATTAAACATGAAGAATTAGAATTATTAGAAATAAACAGGCAGACAATATGATTTTTTGTCTTTACTCCTTTTTCTAATTCTTAATGTTTAATTCTATTTTCCTTGTTCTGGATCTTAACATTATCCGTATCACTTAATTGGCTTCTTTTTTTATTAATATTCAATATTTAACAGAAAAAAATACATTTCTTATGTCATTAGAAAATTTAATTTTAATAAAAAAAAAAGGGGGCGATAATCGTACCTCAAAACGAGGATTCAATGCCACGCGTCGATTGTGTGTAGTCATTGCCGTTTGTGATGAATGAACGACTCCCCGCGCGCCTAGCAACCTTGAACACTGGGCTGTGCGCTTGTATTTGGCAGTGAACCAGCCGAATACGCGTTTCTTTAAGAAAATTAATCTGTATTAAAAAATTAATATCTCGTTAACCCTAGCTATACACACTGAGGTTCCAGAAACCCCAGTGCAATTTGCTAAATCGAGATTTTTACGTATTTCTGAACTTTTCGTTTTCTTTGAATCTATATATCTCGAAACTCCTTAATTCTATCCACTTTTACATGGACTTGTTCCTTAATAAATTCTCCATTGACTAAAAAAAATTAATTGAAATATGTCCTTTTTTAGGTAAGTTACGATAACAAATATGAATGGGTTAACTAATATAAAAATTGCAAAATATAGTAGAGGACTTTTGGACTCAATTTAGTCCACTGTACCTGCCCACGAGTGTTATGTCAATAATTTCGGGACATCCTATATATGTCTAAAAAATCCTTAAATATTCTTTATTGGTTTCTTTTAATTTTTGAAATTAAAGATTACCTAATTATTTGATAATTATTTTATTAAAATTAAAACTACGAATTATGAAAAAAATACAGCTATTACGAAGTTATTAAGTTTGCTAATACAATAACAAATGTCTTGTACATTCTGCATGCATTAAGATATTTCCAGTTTACGCTTTAGGCCATGTTCTGACATATACTGTCAGTACCGAAAATTTATAGTTTACTTTACGCGTATACTGTAGATTTTCAGTGTTAGCAGTGCATATCGGAATAGCTTTAATATTAATACAAAATCCGGATTTTAAAGATCAAATTGCCAGTATGCTGTATGGATAAAAATAAGAAAAAATATTATGTAAACATGTGTCCAAAATAAATTTATAATAAGTCCACAAAAATGAAATGTACAGTTATGTAAACATTTTTGTATTTTTATCTATAAAATTCACTGGCGTAGTTTACGGTTAAAATTTATATAGTTGAATTATGTTGAATTTAATTGTTTTCTATATATATTTACTTAAATAAGCGAAAAGTTAATGATATATTTTAATGTGAAAAATATTTATTAGAAACATTAAAAAAGAAAAAGGTTATTTATGGAGCATTATCATATCTGAAAAAGAAACTCACTCAGAAATAAACAATTGAACAAAATCGGTAGCTTTTATAAGTAAGATACATATTTGTTATTCATATTTACACTCTTCTACCATTTACAAAATTTTATTCAAAGATCTGCAAAGAGAGAAGATTACGAGTTTATTACATGTCCCCTTATCTTAATTTATGAATTTACTATTAACTCTTTACGTCAAAGTGATGCAATCTTTAAAGCTGTCTTGCAATCTATTTACAGACTTCAATTATGGCATGTGAATTTAATGGTGGTGTGGTAATAGGAGCTGATTCTCGAGGTACAACGGGGTAAAGTATAATTATTTAGCAAAGCAATCTTTATCGATTATTCTTCATAATTTTAACTTACATAATTTAACTTACGCATAATGTTAACGTACATAATTTTTTTAGAACTTATGTCTCCAATCGTTTTGCCGATAAATTAACGAGAGTGACAGATTATATTTATTGCTGTCGATCTGGCTCGGCAGCAGATACTCAGGCAATTGCAGACGTTGTAGCTTATCATTTAGGGTTACATCAGTAAGATATCAGAGGACATTCATAAAATGATTGCATCTATTCTATCTAATCGATGTTAAGGTGCACTATTTTTTAAGGATGGAGCTTGGAACGCCACCTTTAGTGGAAACTGCTGCCAATGTATTCCGTGAAATATGCTATAACTACCGAGATTCTTTAATGGCCGGGATCCTAGTTGCAGGATGGGATAAGCAGAAAGGTGGTCAGGTTTACAGCATTCCCATAGGCGGCATGTGTGTCAGACAGCCAATTTCAATTGGTGGTTCAGGCTCAACGTATGTCTATGGCTATGTGGATGCTCAATACAAACCCAATATGTCAAAAGACGAATGTCTCGGGCTGGTAGAGAACAGTAAGTATTGTAAAAAAGATTCATCAGTTTACAAATTAATGACTTCGTTTCTTTTAGCACTTGCATTAGCAATGGCTCGTGATGGTAGCAGTGGCGGTGTAATACGAACTGGTGTGATTACAGAGAAAGGAATTGAGAGGAAAGTCATACTAGGCAACGAATTGCCGCGCTTTTATGAAGGGTGAAAATTATGTCATTCAATGTTTAATATAAAATGTATGCGAGATATATGCCGCATTTGCTAATTAAAATTAAAGGAAAACTTGTAACTCAATGTTTTTCTTTTTTTTCCTCGATATTCATCCTGGAAATAAATATTCTTATTCTAACAAGCAATAAAATATAACGATATCATATGGAAAATTTTAATTACTGTTAATTCAGTTGAGGTATTATTATACTTATTGTATAATATTCTAATTATGAAATATTTTTAGGAATTTTTACATAAGAGATTTAGTTTTATATAGAAAGACTCGTGCTGAAATCGCGCAGCTCTTAATTTAATCACATATATATTCGTATCTTCTACTAAATTTAGATCGTATTATCCACTTGCGAGTCTTGTAACTGCGAGGTATATCCATTAGTCGTTCGTTTTGTACTCCATACTTTGTGCCTATTGTCAGTTTAATTAGAAGATTGTCACAATGACACTATCGTGATGCGCGTAATCGCGGCGCGGCGCAACGCTCCGAACTCTTTTAGGTTCCGCCACAGTTCGCGTGATCTTTGTCAAGGTAGTCGTCTCTTGGCTTTCGCGATAGATTCATCATTTTTGCATGTGCATACGCCATCCTTATTTGTTAATGACGACTGATCCAATAGGATATCGATTCATTCTAATGTAGCCTTTACTTTATTAACAATCGTGTGCACATTTATATTTTTAAAACTTTAAATTATTGTCAGTTTATTTTATACATTTATGAAATACATCTCTAATCAATATTTCGCAATACGAGTGATAATTTGTCATTTCAATGTTTAATAATTATAGTTCGTTTTTTTTTATTCACGCGCTAAAGTGATTTAAGTGAGTAAAGAAATCATCAATTTGAAAATTTATATCAGCAGGTAAAGGTTGTTCTCTCTAGATATTTCAATATTGTAACATAAATGTAAGTAAAAGTATAAGCTCTCAAAAAAGAAGTGCTCATTTTGTCTTTGCAAGGATATCTACGTCATAAAAATTTTATTATTTGTGATATTTTTATAATTTACGGACAATGAAATAATAAGGGTACTACTTAATATTCTATTTATACATTTCTTAAAATGTATGTTACTTAAAATTTAATTTTTATAAATGTTTTATAAAATTGTTTTTATAACATATTTAATCAGAAATTATTTGAATAACATCGATTTAAGAATTCTATTATAATTCCTGGGAAAAAATGTTATATATGGACATATTTTATATATAATTATATATTGTATATAAAATAATTGTATATAAAATATAGCAATTTTTTATACATATAATTATATATAATTATATATACATTTTTTCCTGGGTTTTTACTTTCAATTTTAGCATATTTTTTAATTTTCTTTTATTGAGTCCAGAATGAGTTTAATTTTATCTAAATATTTTATCAAAATTTATAAAAATTTGTCGTACGACAAAAACGCACAAATGTAACTCTTACGCGGAAACTGCCGTAAATGTAGATGATTTGGGACAGTGTTAGGTATAACTTGGGACAGTACTTTTGTTAAATTCAATCGTGATATCCATTCATGAGTCTCTAAAGAGAAAGTTTAAATTTTTTATTTTCTTTAATGACTCATGGATAGATACTACAACTGAATTTAACAAAAGTATAGATACATGCTGTCCCAAGTTATCTGCACTGACCCAAGTCATCTACATAATCGGATTTAGTAACATCCGTAGTTATAACTCTCAAAATGTATATACTCGTTTACACGAAACGGTTTTAAATTTATTCTACGATGAAATAAAATCTAATTGTATAATTCTTTGATTGTTATCTCTGGTGAAAAAATTTCGCTAAAATTATTCTATACATTTTGGAACATTTTAATGAAACTGCTGAAAATTTGCTAAAATTTCACTGAAAATGAATTTTTCAGCTAACATATTGAAAAATCGCTAAAATTTCTCTGAAATTTGGCTTAAATTTTACTGAAAATGAATTTTTCAGCTAAAATTTAAAAAAGTCGCTGAAATTAAACTGAAATTTTTTTTAAATGCTGAAATTTTTGGTTGAAAAGTGTTCCAAAACATGATATCATTTCAGCGAAATTTTTCCACCAGGGATAAGCTCGTTGCATTCAAGATTAGCATATATGTATGCTCCTTGCGTTTACACGGTCTTTTAAAACCAATTTTATACGTCTACTTCATAATGACTACGTTTACTTGGACATCCTTAATCGAGTTTAATAACATCTGTACTTAGAAACTAGCTAATCACAGTCATTTCATTCTTTAGAGGAATATCTATGATTGGCCAATTTCATAATTACGGATATTATTAAACCCGATTAAGGGTATCCGTGTAAAAGTAGTCAATATCTTCGCTATCGGATGTAGAATAACAATTATGTTGAGATATTACAGTACAAACGGTCGTTTATATATTTTACGTTAATTATAGATATAACTACTGTCATTACTAAATCAACCGTGTAAACATATAAATTGATAGAAGCATTGTTAAAACATCATTAGAAGATTCATTTATAATTTCTTTTCCAAGATTTCGAGAACGAAATATTTCTTCGACATATTTCATCAGATTCATTGTGTAACAAGATGACTTCGGAGGGGACCTCAAATGATCTAAGTATAGCAAAATGGGCGCCAGAAACGCCTACTGTCCAGGAAATCATTCACTCTATGCAAAATTTCGATACGTCGGACTATGCTGTATTCGCTGGAATGTTGGTTGTATGTGGCATCGTTGGTATTTATTTCGGCTTCATAAAGAAGTCCTCAGGTGAAGATGAATACCTGGTTGGCGGGAGGAATATGAGCACATTTCCAATCAGCCTCAGTTTGCTAGCCAGTTTTATATCAGGTATAAATATATTTCGTATTTTGTTCTACGTACGTATTATTTTTTTCTATTGCAAATAAATTAAAGCAGGGAATGGAAAGTTATTTTTTAAAAGTAACAAGTTACGGTTATTCGTTACCGAGTCAAAAAAGTTCAATAAGCTACCATTACTATGATTTTTAAAAGTAACTCCGTTGCACACACACACACACACACACAGTTATCGTTACTTAAAAAATAATAAATAATAATTTTTCCGTTACATTTTAAGATCAGTTTTTAGAATAAGTGCTAAATTAAAATCAGTTTAAAAAATGTATTTTTGTAATATTCTTTATTTAAATGTTAATAAAAGCAACATGCAATAATGACAGTAGTTTTAGCTTTAGTTTTTGGTTTCTTCTCTTCAAAACATTTCGTAATTCTGAAACTTGTAAAATATGCGGCAAACTGAGGTATCTGTCCGATATATATCACACAGAAGTGTAAAATAATTCCTAAAATAATGGCCTATTTCTCAGCTATCAAAAATCGCTGCAAGAGCGCGGGCGCTGTGTATGGCATTTGATAGCTTCTTCTTTTTCATCTTTGTATGGCGTATGCCTCTATATGTTGTAGCGATTTTGATCAGTAACGAAATCGAAATAAAAAAAATGTTAATAAAGACGCGATTGTCCCAAAAATGTCACCCTTCCCCAAACACTAGAAGCCTGTGCCTGCATAAGCTCTTATATCCCAGATAACATTTCGTCCAAAAGCAAAATAGTGTAATTTATTTGTTAATACTTGTTGTCGTAATGTTGCCATGATAATGGCAAAAACATTTGCTAAATATAAAATTTTGCTTCCATGTTGCCATAATTTTGTCAAATTAACATTTGTACAAGTACTTTTAATGATAAATAAAATTGCTCCAATTTTGCCGAAATATTGCCATAATCAAACACTTTTACCACAATCGTTGCCGCAAAGTTATTGTAAAGTTACTCTACTATAGTTCGTGTGTTTCTTTGCTTGCAATGTTGCATCAAATGAGGACTTACTTTGTTGGCAAATTGCTTGCAAAATTTTTAAGCAAATTATCAGCAAAATGCCGACAAAATATTATCTGGGTAGTATTATTAGTTATATATGATATAGTTATTAGGTCGAAAATGGAGCTTATTGCGCTACTTTAGTATATCTAGAGCTTTAACATCCGCCTCAGCCGAGAGACCTCTCGAGACTAATAGCAGTTGACATACAGAGCTGAGTATTTTAGGAATTATTTTATATTTCTATATGACATAGATATCTATTAGACAAATATCTTAGTTTATCACATATTTTACAGATTTTAGGATTATGAAATTGTGCTTTTAAATAAAAACTTACAAAATGAAACTTTATTCAGCAAATAATTTATTGTATATAATTTCCCCCTCATCGTATCGTCGCGAGAGAGCCAAGTCTTAATATTTGTGTGAATACAATATATATATTCAATTCTACAATCTACATACGCCAACTAATTTTCAACCTTGTGAAATGTTATCCGACTGATATTTTTTACAATACATTTTTCAATATTTTAAAATGCTTATCAACGTAAATATAATATAATTAAATTACATGTCAATTTAATTTTATAATTTATTGATTTTTATAATTTTTGATATAATTTATAATTTTATAATTTTTATAAATTTATAATTTTATAATTTATTGATATAATTTATTAATTTTTGTTTTAAAAAATTCTTTTTTTACGGAAATTATATCATATAAGTTGGAAGCCGGGAAAAAATATTTCATATATAATCATATAAAATTATATATAATTGTATATGAACAATTAAACGCAGTTACAAGTTACCAAAAAAAAGTAACTTGTAATTGTAATTTTGTTACAATTAACGAGTTATTTCCATCCTCTGAATTATATTGTATGTGTGTGTAAAATTTATACATACAAGCTATAACATTATTTTTTTAATATTTATTATTTATTTAATTTATTTATTCTTATTAAATATACAGAGTGTAAATAAAGATGTGAAATAAAGTGACAACTTCGGGGTCGAGCTCCTCCCACCAATACATGAAAAAAAAGGTTCGAACAAGACGAACTCGAACTTGAACCGAAACGTACGTACGTGTATTTGCGATTAAATGATTGATATTGACGAATATAATTAAAAATTTTGTTTATAAATAATTGCGCGTTGTCCTCCGCGCTGATTCCTATATATAG